GAGTAAGGTATTACATATGTGTCCATATCCCTCCATTGCCCCCCCACACTCCACTCCCATATATGCCTTCATCCCCCAATGTCTTACGTTGCTCTTTTAGAGCAACGAGATAAAGTGGGACTCAAGGCACCAAGGCTCAAAGTAGTCTCTATTTGCAGAGGGTAGAATTACAAAGGAACATCTCTTACTGAGATGTTGTTCTAAGAATTTTACATGAATCCACTTATTCAATTCTCATGGCAATTCCATAGGCTGGTGCCATTATTTGTCTCATTTTATACATGAGACAAATGAGGCCCAGAGAGGCTAAGTAATCTGGGCAAAGTTGTAGAGCTCATGGGTGGTGGAACTGGGACTCCAGTCTCTGCAACCAGTCTCCAGAGCTTATGCTCTTAACCATACTGTCTCTCAGGAGAGTGGGATTGAAAAATGCATTGATAAAAACCAAAACAGGGCAATGAAAGCTGAAAGAAGAGGGCATAGAATCCAGAACATAGAATCTCAAACATTGCAAATGAATGCTAAGAGCTCTTTTTTTTGCTGGGGAGGAGAGGGGCGTGGATAAAAGGAGAAGATAGAGGGAGGGAGAAAGGACAAAGGGAGGGAAGAGGGAAGGAGGGAGGAAGAGAAAAAGGGACAGAGGGAGAGAGAGAGGACAGGCTGCAGTGCTTTTCCTCTGTTCAAAGTGATACAACTTCCCTTCCCATAAATTAGTGGTCTGTGTTGGCACACATGAAAAAAGATAATAACTTTGCAATGTGTATATAGCATCCTTTATCCAGCAGAGAGCCCTACAGCAAGTCAGCAAAAACAGCTCTCTGCCTAAAATGAAACTTTATAGCTTCCAAAAAATCTATTTAGAAAGCAAACAGCATTTAAATTTACTTGAAATGATACCCTTTTCTGTAACTGCTCCAGAACATGGGATTCTGTCCTTCTGGGGGAACTGAGGAATTTTCTCAATGCTGCCTGGGTGGATTTGGACTTTGTGCCCTTTCTCAGGTCATGGGAAGAAGTCACCGTGACCTACCAGCCTGGAAATTCTGCCAAGAGGCTGAGAGCCCTGGGAATCTGCCCAGCCAGCTTCGTGGAGGTCAATGAGCACAGTCTAGACATTAAGTATTAATCTTAAAAAGAGGAAGATAGATACAATATAGTTTCAAAAGGCTGAGGAACCAACTGTGAGTAAATGTCTTAACTACTGATATACTATCTTGGGCTGTGCTGTCTTTTCCCAGGAACCTATTCATCAACACTGATAAAAAAATTTTGAATCTTCTAGTAGCTCATTACATTCTATATTCTTAATCATCTTTTCCTAAAGGAAAATTACCTTGTCTTTGTGAGTGAAGCATCACTTATGTCTATTAAAAATAAAAACATCATCTGCTGGGCTAAGAGATGATATGGGCACATGCTGTGCCCACTCACACATCATTGATGACAGTGGAGAGGCATAAGTCAAAGCCAAGAGTTGGATAGAATAGAAAGAAGTCAACATGACCAAAATAATCCCACAAATTACAGCCATCAACAGATGGATTTCTTTAAGGTTCCCACATACTATAACACCAATACTTTCTAGATGATAGGGATACATTTCCTAAATACCTTACTTTTTAAAGTTGTCATTTGTACGAGTTAATATCTCAGAAGTCCAGGGAGAACAGAGAGTGACACACACAGAGAGAAACTGCTGTTTCCCTGCCCTAAAAAAAGTACAATAAACTAATGATAGTTGAATTTTTTCAGCAAACTCTTCAACCTGAGGAACCTATTTCTAAGACTCTAGGCAAGGATTCTGGAAGGGACTCTAGGCTACCATATCTAGATGAAAGTTACAAGATAAAGCAGAGCATTTTGATGGCAAACTGAAAAACCACTGTTTTTCATTTCCAAGTAATTTGTGAAACAGAAATCTCTAACCTCTAACCCATTTCTGGGATTCATCTTATCCCTGACCCTCACCCCATCCATCATCCGCAGCTGTCAATCTCCCCTGGCCTATCTCTGGCCTATGACCCTGGAGTGGGAGTCAGGGTCAGGGTGAGGAGTGGTGAGGTGAGAATATCTGTTTTGCACATTACCTTTAAATTGAAATGCTGCAAGTTCAATAGTGCTATGTCAGAATATCCCTACAGGAAAATTACTGAGTCGATGTATCTGGGTGCAAACATCTTGCACTGAGAAATGGAAAAGTATCAAGACACACAAAGGTATAAATACCAATGAACATAAACATGTGGCAGGAGATGCCGTGGAGCATGCTTGAAGCTCATTCTCTGCTGCTCACCCACCCAGTACACACCAACCATGTGTCAACTCTAGTTCAATAGTGTAAGCTAGAGAGGTCACAGAGGAAGAAAATCAGAAGATGCAAACTAGATCCACCCTCCAAGAGTCTGCCTGAATCTAATATGTACCCTAGAGCAAGCCATTTCAAGTCTTGACGTATTTGTTTTTCCTCTATAACATATTAACAATAACAACTGCCTTGCAATAGGAGGCACTCAATAAATAATCATGAATGAATGAATGAATGAATGAATTCATGTATATCCCCTAGATGTTTTGAGGCTTTCCAAATTAAGGAGTGAATAGGTTGAAAATAAGAATAGGTGATCTTACAACTGTGTAAGATGGTGTTTAGGTGGTAGACCTTGGAATACTTGCTTTCTTTGGCTAAACACTTAAATCTCCACCCCTCCCCCACACCAGCTAGCCATAACATCTTATTTTAGAGTCGAAATTGACTTGATAAATAAAACCTGAAAATCAATATTCTTTTTTCAACAATTATGTAGAAGAAAGACCTTTTAGAATAAAATGGTCTCAAAATGATATCACACTAATGTACAATCATGTATATAGCAAATCCATTTATTAAATAAATCTTTGAGTTCTTACTACCTGAGGGATATTATTTTATTAATCATAACTGAATCAGCCATTGTTCCTTCCCTCCAAAAGCTGACTTTTTAGGGGAATACTGGACCCATTAGCAGCTAGAATCCAATGGCAGAAGAAATAGCAAAACACTAAAAGCAATGGCTTTGGTATCCAACTGCTGTTTGACCCAGTGATCTCACTTCTAGAAATACATTCTAAGAAAGCTGAAACACGAATTTAAAAAAAAAGTTATACATGCATCCTTATGTTCATAGCAGTATTATATATTAGCTAAGATCTGGAAACAGCCCAAGGGCCCACCAGTAGGTGAGTGGATTAAAAAGCTGTGGTTCATTTACATAATGGAACACTATTCAGCTGCAAAAATGAAGGAGCTCTTAAACCTTGCCACAGCATAGATAGACCTAGAGACTCTTACATTATGCAAAATAATTTAGTTAGAGAAAGACAAATATCACATTTCATTTATATGTGGAATCTAATGAACAAATAAACTAAACAACAAAATAGAACCAGTGGTTCTATGCATGGAACAGAATAACAGATCTCAGTGGGAAGGAGGATGGAGGGGTCAGGATGAGATCATATAAGTATAACCCATGGACACAGGCAATAATGTAGGGAAGACCTGTGGCAGGGCGGGGATTGGGTGGAAAGGGACAAAAAGCGGGGCAGAGCAGGGGGTATGAGGGACATCTATAATAATGATAACAACTTTTTTAGAAAAAGTGAAGCACAGAACAACCCAAGGTCACATAAGTAATAAGTGGCAGAACCAGATTTCAAAACCAGACAGCCAGATCCCAATAGTCCATGCTTTTGGAAGTCAATCATATAACTGTCCTAACAGAAATAAAGAAGGAAAAGCATTAGCCTAGCGGTGAGGGGGGAGAAGATTCAGAAGAAATGTTTAATGGACTTTATATGTAAATAACTAGGCAAAAATTAAAAGGAGGCAGATATTGACTCAGTAAAATGAAGAACTCTCTAACACTCTGTGTCACTAGTGAACAGTTAGGCTCATAAAGTTCCCTGTCAACAGAATAGTCAGGTAGAGGCTAGAAGTCCACTTATAAATGATATCAATGGCAGTAACACTTTTAAGAACATTACATGCACCTCACTCTCAGAAAGCAGAGAACAAGACAAGCCCAGCAGAACTCAATTAAGATGGAGATCTAATAGGCAATTAAAAATGTATCAAGGTGATGAAATGGGTGGCATTCAAAAAGGTGGGCACTCACACCACTAACTATGATTTTCTCTGCTACCTACTTTCATGTCAGGAAAATTCAGAAATGGAAACAGCACAGCAAACAACGTCATGGTATAAAATCCTAAAAAATGCCAAGTAACTAAAATATGAGACACTAATCAACTCATTATGCATCTGGTTTTCCATATCAATGGATGGTGCCAAAGAATTTATTTGAGTTGTTTGGACTGTGAAATCACTTCTTTCCCCTCAAGAAGGAGAAGATCTAGTTAAACTTGAGATTAAAGAGGCGGATAAAAGTGCCCCCTGGGCAGCAATGGCCAGGAATTAGACACGCTGCTACTACTGGAGCAGGCAGTCTTGAGACGTGATCCATTTCAGGATGTCTTCCATCCGATGCCAGGGCGGCTAATCCTTTTGCAAAGCATGACAGCTTCTCAAACGTGATTGTGGTGAATCCAAACCAGATTTTATGCTATATGATCAGTTTTCTTTCGCAATACAAAATCATTTTTATACTGTATTGGGTATTAAGTTCATTAGATTTAAATTTGCAAACAAAGACAAGCATGCCTGCAATGCAGCCTGCTCTAGACTCCCTTGAGGCTCGTTTAGCAGAATAAAATGTCAAATAATAGCGATATAGAAATATATTGAATCAGGGCTTCTCTATAAAAACAAATGCTGTCAAACGGTGACAGAGTTTTACACTTCCTTAAAGAGAACCATTCAAATTTCCATCTCTGAAGAAAAAGGGCTATAATGTGTCATCAGAACACTCTCATTGATACCATTGCTTTTCAAACGAATGTCCATCAACTCTGGAGCCTTTATTACTCTGACAGCAGGCTGAAACTCTCAGAGGCTGGCTTACCTTTCTGCAGTCAGATAAGGACTTCTCACTGCCCAATGTGCTGAAAACGGTGGTCTGCAAAACAGGAAGGTGGGAGACACATTAGAACTGTCAGAATGTCCCAGACCTGTGCATCTCTAATTCAAGGTGGGTACCACTTCCTGGAACCCCACTGATTTATCTGGAATTTAAAAAGTATCTGCCTTTCCCTCCTCCCAATTCCGCATGCGCGCGCACACACACACACACCCCAACTGGGACATTTATTACAAGCATCAATGACGCGGTAAAATAAAGATTCTTGTTTATATTCATTTCACAAACAAGGTAATTGTAGCACAATTAGGTTGCCAAAGATCATACACCTCAGAAACATACCAGAACTCAAAAACAAGTTGTCTAACTCCAAAACCCACCTTCTCAACCACACCAGGTACTTTCTCTTTATCTTGAAGAGATATGTCCAAAATGTCAAAAGCCAAAAATCTTTCAAATGATAACTTTTATGAGCTGAGTGATAAATGGAGCTTCTCTCCATTCATGAGGTTTGTGATTCTGAACAGCAGTGCCAAGTTTGCATCTCATCTCCTCTTCTTAAGCACATCATCATCCCAGTGATTGACATATTTGTTTATATATTTTCCTGACCTCATGAACTACTAGAAAGGCACTTAAATATTCAAGGCCAATTGAAATTTACAAGTTTGTTACTTTTGGATTATCCTATGAAGCATTCAACTGAGCTGTGGTTACCCACATACATACTATTGCTTTTTTGGGTTTCAGGAAATCTTTCTTTTTCTTTAATTACAAAACTAATATGTATTCTTAATGAGTTAATACCTCTTCTAACCTATCCTCCTGAGGTAACCAATAATAACAATTTGTGTTCATCCTTTCTCTACAAAAGAACTAAATCAATTATATTTATTATACTAGAGGTCCGGTGCATGAATTCATGCACCAGTGAGATCCTTTGGCCTGGCCTGCGGGATTGGGCCAAAACTGGCTCTCTGACATCCCCCAAGGGGTCCCACATTATGAGAGGGTGCAGGCCAGGCCAAGGGACCCCACTGATGCACAATCGGGGACAGGGAGTAACATGGGAGGTTGGCCAGCAGGGGAGAGACCGCAGGAGGGCTCCAGTGTGTGTCTGGCCCATCTCGCTTAGTCCTGATCAACCTGACCACAGCAGCAAGCTAACCTACCAGTTGCAGCATCTTCCCCCTAGTGGTCAGTGCATGTCACAGCTAGTGGTTGAGTGGTCTTAGCATTTCATTAGCATATGGCACTTTAATTGGTTGAACGGCCAACTAGACAACCAGACACTTAGCATATTAGGCTTTTATTATACAGGACTAGAGGCATGGTGCGTGAAATTCATGCACTCAGGGGGGTGGTCCCTTGGCCCAGCCTATGCCCTCTCACAGTCTGGGAGCCCTCAGGGAGTGTCCGACTACTACAGAGGGGGGGTAGGCTCCTGTCACCACTGCTGTGCAAGCCAGCCATGAGTTCAGCTTGTGGCTGAGCGGTGCTCCCCCTGTGGAAGCACACTGACAACCAGGAGGCAGCTCCTGCATTGAACATCTGGTCCCTGATGGTCAGTGCACATCATTCCCCTGTCCGATCAAGGCATATTAGCCTTTTATTATATAGGATTACATATGCACATATAGAACTTCTTTCTTTCTTGAGATCACACCATCCTGCTTAGACTATATTACCAACATCTTCCCAAGTCAGTTCATATAGACTGACTCAGTGTTCTCAATAGCTATGTAACATTCCATAATATGGATACCCCATACTTTATGTATGCTTTCCTTTATTGATTGATATTTTGTGATTTTCAGGTTTTGATTCTTTTGTGTTGGTTTTCTTTGTTTGCTGCAATAAATATCCTTATATAAATAGGAGGGAGATGATAGCTAGATGATAGATAGATAGATAGATAGATAGATATTAATATATATATATATATATATATATATATATATATATATATATATAATTTTATTTTGGTTGAATAGGGTCAAAAGAACTAAAAGAAATGTATAATAAATAATAAATACAGGCTTTGGTAAGGCTTAAAGATCTAATGTATATAAACTTTCTGCTATGCTCTCCTCTTATATCATAAAAATATTTACCACCTTACCTAGGAAAGTTAAGAATCTGAGCCAACACATGACCTGGCCCAAAATAATATACAGTATTAAAGGACAAAAAACACAGATATGGATACACACAAAAATTATATTTAATGAAGAAAAAATAAACTTAAGATTTAGGTTGGGTGGGATCCTTAAATTTGGTTTGCAGGCAGTTTTGTGTTTTTATTTTGTTTATGAGGGAATAAATACATGTTATTTAGAAAGTTTGAGTTAAAAGGGGAAAAGGGAAAACAGGGAAGAATTTTGGTGATGGAAGAAAAGAGGAAAAGCAAAAGTCAAAAGAGAGAAAACGTTCATAAAAACAGACACCAGAATTACCAAGAAAATGACTCACATAAAGAAACAGCCTTCTCTGCTCAAAGAGAATGAGGACACATGATTCCTTCTTCTTATCATAACCTGTCCCATTGATCTAATTTCAACCCTGACAAACAGCAGCCCATGTTGGCAGGGCTAACCATAGTCCTGGAGTTCCATGCAATGTTTATCTATGCTGCTGCCAGGTTTGCCTTCGTTTATCTCATTTTTCTATTCCTTGGGATGCAAGGGAAGATATCTTTGCTTGCTATTCACAGATTATACCATTAACGAGAAAGGGAAAAGCCAAAGGAGACAGTTTTCACATGCTACAGTGAGAACCCCAACTGCAATCTTTCAGCCAAATGCCTTCCTCATGACTTTCATCATCTTGAAGCATTTGTATTCCTGAGCATCCTGGCATGGGGGCCCTCTGTTCACTCTCAAATTTCTGCTCCAGGAAGGTAAAGACCTAACAAGACTTGGTCACTGCCGAAACCGGTTTAGCTCAATGGATAGAGTGTCGGCTTGGGGACTGAAGGGACCCAGGTTCGATTCCAGTCAAGGGCATGTACCTTGGTTGCGGGCATATCCCCAGAAGTGGGTGTGCAAGAGGCAACTGATCGATGACTCTCTCTCATCGATGTTTCTAACTCTCTATCTCTCTCTCCCTTCCTCTCTGTACAAAAATCAATAAAATATATTAAAAAAAAGACTTGGTCACTGCTGTGGCCCCATTACCTAGTCCAGTGCCTTGCACAAAGAAGGTATCTAATAATATGCACTGAATGGATGCCAAAAGAAAAAAAAATGACATAAGCAAAACTGTAGTCCTTATTCCAAAACACTGTTGGGAAAGCATGATGCTGAAAACACAGCTTCACATGTAGTAAGTAAAGCCAAAGGAGATAAATAAAACTCCTGAATGGTAGCAAAATACATTTTCTTTCTATTTAGCATATGTCCATTATCTATTATCTACTTGGTTTGGCTAAATCAATTTTTCAATGTCGGGCCTATGAACATTTTGAACTGGATAATTCTCTGTTGTGGGGGTTGGGGTGTGCGTGCGTGCATGCATGCTGTGCTGTGCATTGTAGGATGTTTTGTAACATCTCTGGCCTCTCCCCACCAGATGCCAGTAAAACATGCCCCACCCCATATCAATTGTGACAAGCAAAAATGTCCCCAGACATTACCAATTGTCCCCTGGGGGCTGCAAAATTACCCCCAGTTGAGGACAATGGGTCTAATCTCTAAAGGAGCTAGTTACAGAAATTATTCTAATTCCCTGGCTAGTGCAACAATTTTTTTTTCCTGGAATTTCTCTTCTTGTCCGTGATTTCAAATCTTATTCTCAGTCTTAAATGGAAGTCAAAATCTGAGGAGGACCCAAATTCCAGCTATTGAAGATTGTGTGCAGGCAACTTGAGAGACTAAATGCATTTTTAAGCTTCAGACACACCACTGGGGAGAGTAAATTAACTAAAGTGTCTAAGAAGTCAGACATTAGTGCTATAAACCCAGGGAAATGATCTTTGAAATTAAACAATACCATTCAACCTTCAAGAACAGTGTCAGGTAACTGAGAAACACAGGGAAGGAGAAATGAGAGCCAGAGATGGGTGAAATTGGCCTCCCTGAACAAAATTAACACAATTAGCTCTAAATGTTACATTTGTAGAAAAGAAACACTTGAGCCAAAAGGACAAATGTATGGTGAACTCTCAGCACCTGGAAGGAGTGTGAACGAGGTATGGCACGGTCAATAAGAGTCCGTCACCTTAATTCGGCCATTTTCTAAAGGGATTTTACTTATACGCTTGGTCAGTCTCATTCCGTTCCTGTCTAAAGACTATCCGGCATTCCAGTTCCCTAATTGCAGCTATTGTAAATGACTTTGGGTGGGCTTTCTAAATCTTCCATAACATGTTCACTTTAATTACTGAAAATGAAAGACTCAAAGCATGGCAACTTACCCATGCTGTGACCTTCTTGATTGTTGCATCAATATTTTTCTACTAAAGAGGAAACTCCTCATGAGTCCCCTCCACCAAATTCGCAGGATGCTGCGTTGGTCACAGGAGTGCAAGCATAATGAAGCACCAGGGCTTTTTCAGAGCGCTGACTTCTAACCTTGTTGGCAGGGTGACCAGCGTGGGGTGAACAGTATTGTGCATGGACCATTGCAACAATTTCCCAAAATGAATCTAGAAAGGTGGGACCCCACTGTTTTCCACTGATGCACTGATGCCTGAAATTTCACTTATCAGAGCTCCGTCTTTAGCATAAGGCTTTCCGTCATAATAGAGAAACCCTCTGGAGATGTTAGGGTGAAAAGGGGGAAATTGAACATTTCTTGTCTTACTATCTGTTGGTCTGTTACACCTTAGAAGGAATGAGTTTATCAGATACTTTTCTATAAGTAGATTTTAAAAAAAAATAGTAATTTCAAATGCAGATTTAACAGGAAATGAAGACTTATATCCTGAAGACATTGGATACTCAATGGTGATGGAAACAGGTCTAAAGGCACAGAGGGCAGGTGAGACTCCCTAACATGCAGACCATGAGATGGAGGTGAGCATGCAGGAGGTTTATTAG